GGCGGAGGAGTTTTCCCCGTTGCTAAGTGTTTGTCTAGCACTCGTGAACCCCTGGGTTTAATCCCAGCACTGTACAAGCCCTGCTGTGGTGGCTCATACCTGTAATCGGAGCGCTAGGGAGGCAGAGTCAGGAGGATCCTCACAAGCTGGAGGCTGCCTTGTTGTATGTAGCACTGAGCCAGCTAGCTTTACACAGTGAGATCCTACCTCAAAAACACCACTCAGTGTTTAGTGCATGCATGTAATCCCAGCGTTTGGGAAGTGAGGGAAGGAAGGTCAGAGTTCAAGGCTAGCCACTGCTACTTAACAAGCCTGAGGCCAATCTGGGTTACATAAGACCTTGTCTCAAAATGTCCAAAAGAAAAAAAAAAAAAAAAGGAAAAAGAAAAAAGAAAAAGTATACATTGATGGTGATGTTATACGTATATATTATAGAATGCTCTGGTAACCACTTTAGTCAACACACCACCGTGTTAGTTACTTTTGGGACGTGTATGTGTGCATGCACTCACTCACAAACACTTAACATTTGCTTGCCTCATGTTTCCAGTGTACAACACAGCATTTATTATGGTCCCCATGGTCTGCATTAGATTCCTAAGACATCATCTCCTATTCTTGCTCCTTTCTCTTATCCCACTACAGTGCCCATCTTCCTTTTGCTCCTCTACTCTCCCCTCATCTGTTGTCAATCTCGTCTATGGTGTGAGCTGACTCTCACCAGTATATGCTGTTTTCTCTCAAGAGCAATGTCTTAAGGGGCTTGAAGATAACCCCACACAGTCATAATGGAGACAGCTATGGGTAACCTTGCAGATGCCTTGGTCTTCTTGAGACTAATTCCACATCCATAGATTACTACAAATTGGAACAACATATAAAAACATGGGACTGACAGTAGTGTGTGCATATGAACTCTTTCTCCTTTAGAGGGACCAAGGTGTTGTCCATTCTGGGCATTCATGCTGCTAAGAGCATGTCCTAAGACTGGGCAAGATATTGACTTTGAAGCAAAATTTTCCCTGTACAGGCCCACTGAGACTATTTTGAGTAGCAACTATTATAGGATTATTATAAGATTGTCAACTGATTTTACATGCAATTATAGGTAAATATCTATGGATGTAGTTTTTTAATATATGTGATTATAGGTAAATAATTATGGATATAATTTGTATATTATTTATAATTTTTAAAGAGCAATGTGACATATTGTTGTACCATTTGCCTCCCACGATGGGTTTGAGAAGGGCAGGCATCTTTAAACACACTTATGAGCACATTGGGGTCCAGAAAACAAAGTGATGGGCAAGAATCCAGGACCAAAACTTCCAACTGTGAGCTAGTTCTGTGATTCCAATCTGTGATTCCAATCTGCCTTCGGTGGCCAAAGGGCTGCTCATTTTTTCTTGGTGTGTTTTGTGGATATTTACTGAACGTCAGACACTATTTTCTTTATCAGGTGGAACTGGGAGAAACACGAAGGAAACCTACTCTTCATTCTGTGGTTGGACGGGGAAGACGGACAGTTTGGGTTTGGATTCCTGCTCACCTATTTCTACCTTGGGTATATTTTCCAAACCTGGTTTAACCCAATGTCCTGAGATGGAGATCTGCACTCTTGCTACAACTGGGTTGACGGTGCAACCTGATGTGGCTGGGACAGCCCCCGTTTATTGATTTTGGTGTCCTATTAGAATTATTAATAATACTCATTTTTTTGTGGGTGTGATTAAAAGCATTCTGTCTTGGGTGGTAAGTCACATGATCGCCTTCCAGGGACCCACAGGAGGCCTGCAGTCCCATCCAAGAGTGACACACAGGAGTGCAACTTCAGGGACCAAAGGTGCATGGTGAGATTAAGACAATCGACCCTCTATATTACATACCTAAGACACAGCATGCAGAAAGTACCATGGGTGGAGGTTTCCAAAGCAGAGCTCACCAGATATTCATGTGTGCTTTAACATTGCCACATTTCCTTGCAGGGTGATTGGATCATGTGGCTAGCTGGGTCCTACTGCTGACTCGAAATGAGGTGCCACTTTTAGACCAAGGCAAGGTCTGCTGCCCTCTGCCTCCCATCTGTGGCTGAGATGACTTCGGTTGCCATGGCGGCAGAACCTGGAAACCGAACCACTCCTTGGGGAAGAGCCCTCTCCAGCCTGCATGAACCTTGTGGGAGAGAAGTCAGTGCAATGTGAGTGTGCACAGCCATCAGGTTTCCCTTGCAGCTGTGTTACAGCTTCTTGTCCTAATAGTGAAAGAGTACTGGTTCACTGGATCTGATTAATAAAAGGCCCTTGCTCATAAACACACAGTGGCCTCTTCTGTACTGTCCCGATCGAGTTGCCATTTCAGGGTCTTTAAGGGGGTTTAAGGTGGTGCTGGATCTGCAGGCTCATGTGTCCCCTACTTTCTTGGCATTATTTGATTATGTACCTTAAGCCCCCCAGAGAAGTTGTCTGTTAGGTGCCAGTGGTGTGGACTATGATGGTGATGTCATCTTAGACGCTTACCAGGCTGTAGGCTTATCAGCAGGATTCCGGTTTTCCTACCCATGGAGTCCACTGTAGTAGAATATTGCTTTAAGGTGTGTGACTCTTGTTTGTGCGGCATTTGTTTAACTCCGGGAAGCTGTGATTCTTTACCTGTCTAAAACACCTGAGGCTCCAATAAAGAGCTGAGCAGCCAATAGCGAGGCAGGAGCAAGGATAGGCGGAACTGGCAGGAAGAGAGTATAAACAGAAGGAGAAACGAGGAAGTAGATTAACAACAAGAGAACAAAGGGAAGAGGGTGTCAGGGTCAGCCACCTGGCCACCCAGACACCTAGACATCCGGCTACCCGGCCACCCAGACACCCAGACATCCGGCCACCCAGACACCCAGACACCCGGCTACCTGGCCACCCGGCCACCCAGACACCTGGCTACCCGGCCACCTGGCCACCTGGCCACCCAGACACCAGGCTACCAGGCCACCCGGCCACCCAGACACCCGGCCACCTGGCCACCCAGACACCCGGCCACCTGGGCACCCAGACACCCAGCTTGCCACAGAGGAAGAGTAAAAGTAAGAGGTACAAAAGTAAGTAAAGGAGAAAGCCCAGAGGCAAAAAGCAGTAGGGATAATTGGGAAATTTTTAAAAACGCTGACTAGAAACAAGCCAAGGTCAGGCTGGGCATCCATAAGTAAGAATAAGCCTCCTTGTGTGATTTATTTGGGAGCTTGGTGGTGGGCCCTCCAAGAAGCCAAAAGAATAAAACATTGCATAACAGTCCACATTACCTGTCTCCCTTCCAGTGCTTCAATTTCCCACAGAGGTCAAGGTTTCTAAGGGTTCGGCTAAACCCATTTCTGAACTATAAAATCAGTTGTAAATGGTGCAGCTGGCTTTTAAAAAGTAAAACAGTATAGAAGAAAATCAGGGTGTGTGAGAGGCGAGAGGGTGCTGCCCATTGGTCAGCTGATTAGTTCCTACTAGGCGTCATGTGACTACACCCCCTGGTGCATAGCACACATCAGCCAGGTCCTCAGGTGCTTATGGCAGCTCTTGGAATCAGTCACCAGAGTGATACTTACAAATACTTCCTGGAGGCAACCGGGGAAACCAACAAAAACAACTGGTGGGTGATTTGCATGGCTGGGGGAGAAACCAATCAGGGCAGTTTTATGGATGGTGGCTGTCCAACCACCATCTCTGTCACCTGGGGTTGAGCTGGGATTCTCTGGGGCTGACCTTTGCAGAGGTTTCAGCTTCCTTTGAAATGATCATAAGCAATCCCCTTTGACTGATGCCCTCATGGGACAGTCTGTATTGAGGAAGGGACATGGAGTCCCTGGCCTAGTAACAGACTTGGGTGGTGTGTGGCAGGCATGCTTTAATCAAGGCAATGGGGAGAGGGACAAAAACACATTACTGGAGTCAAAGCGGGAGGTGAGACGGGGCAGAGCAGCCTGGGACAAGAAGCTTCCTTCTACCTCTTGGTAGGCAGTCGGGCTGTCGGCCCTGCCTAGCAGAGTGGCAACCTGTGTTTGCGGATGCTGATCTGGGAACAGTTGTGTTGTCTTTTTGGTGGGGTGGGAAGAAGGATGGGGGGGGGGTCCTTTGGGAACTCAGAAAGTGGAAGGACAGACAGACATCACCAAAGGTCCAGGCAAGGCTGGTGATCTGAAATGTGCCACTTAATTTCATGAGGCTTACTAATCACAACACATCCCTTTGAAAAGTTTTCATGTTACAAAAAAAAAAAAAAAAAAAAACCATGAAAATTAGAATATCAATACAAAGATGGAATCAAGTAACTACAGGTATGCTTAAAGTTGCTTGTAGCTGTTCCTAATCCTTCCTAAGACCCCTGGGGCTGTTCCTGTAACTCCCTCGGGTGACGCTGTGCTTTTGGAGGCTGAGAGAAGGCTGGGTTGGGGAACGCCTGCTGCCCACCCTGAGTGCTGCAGAAACTTGCACTTTAGGACTCTGGAGTCAGCTGCTGGGCCCTGGGCTGGAGTGGTTTTCATCAAGAGGCCTGAGACAGCTGATCTGTGCTGCTCCCAGGCAGACCACGGGGAGATAAGGGCTAATCAGACTGTGACACACTCTATAGCTGCCTCTTCTGGGCTGAAGGAGGAAAAGAACATCAAAACCTAAGTAAGAGGTAAATTCGTACCCAAACACACACACACACACACACACATGCACACACACACACATACACACACATGCACACACACACGCACACACACATACACACACGCACACATGTACACACACATACACTTTTAAAAACAAGTAGTGTGCGACATAAGCAAGAGCATCAGAACTGCCTACAACTCCGTTCAGGCAATGGCATGGCCAGGCTGGGTGAGGGTCCAGTAAACCCTGCCCGGGTGCCCCGTTACCTAACTATGTTCTCACCAGCCCGCCCGTTGAGCTCTTCTGCTGTCTGCTCTTCTCTGTGACTCAACACAGACAATATTAAGGTTGAATGAAGACATTTATTTGTAAAACCAAATTCTTCCTGACAGAGAAGAGACTGTATTGGCAGGATGTAAATGGGCGGTCTCTCAGGGCCACATGCACACCTCAGTGAAACCCAGGGAACCAGGCAGAGAACACTACTGCTGACCCCCCATGTGGCTTCTTAATGACCAACAAGAGCAGAGTCCTTTCCACCGGAGGACGCAGATGCAGGGAGATGTCCCGTGAGAAGGCAATTTGGTCGGACCTCCACCATGGAGTGAACAACAGGGACCTCGTTTTTATTGCCCGTGGCTTGTTTGCTTGCTATAGACCTGCGGAAGGTCTCCCTGATCCTCCACCTGCCAGCAGGAGGGCAGCGGCATCCAACACCCTGGCCTTCTCACATGCCCATCCTTATGCTCTGTATGATCTGGAAGATAGCTGGGAGAGGAAAGAACACAGACAGCTCAGATACCAGACAGCTTAACGCTGGAAACCCAACCCACCCAGTACCCACCCAGTACCAGGCTTCTGCTGACCCTGCCCCTCGCTGGCTGGCTCAGAGCTGATTAGATACTTCCTAACAAGAGGTCCCGTTAACAAGGGGTCAGTGAATTTCTTTCAAAAAGACAGCCTAGCTCTGGCTGCTGATGGATGCCTCTGGGATTAATAGATAACTTCTGCTAATTCCACCAGGAGCTTTAGACAGAAATCCCTGAGGCATGGGAGATAGCCTTGGCCTCCTTCCCCAGCAGTTTTGGGGCTGCTGGGGAGAGTGGTGAGCCTTCGTGCAGAAAATGAATGCATTAAGCAGGTCAGTGCATCTGCCTTTTCAAAACGGCCATGACCTGTGAAACAACCAGTTCTGTGGGGGAAGGCAGGCCAGGTGTTCAGAGCACACACACACACACACACACACACACACACACACACACACACACACACACACACACACACGGCTGGCCTCTGCTGCCTATGACCCTGAACACATCTGTCTTTCAGTTTCCTGTGACTCTGAAGCCCACCATTTCTCAATGTGGCCAACACTTATTACTTTAGGGTTCTACCTTTAATTAGCGGGGCTGGTGGGATGTGGGGCAGAGTAGGAGAAGCCTGAAGCCCACAGATAACTCCTGGGCACCTAGCATATTTGGAGAGAATTAGTTAAGTAATGTCTACCCTGGTTCTAGCTCTTGTGCTTTGATAAAAGAAGGTCTTTGTGTGTGTGTGTGTGTGTGTGTGTGTGTGTGTGTGTGTGTGTGTGTGTGTGTGTGTTCTATTGTTTTGTCCTTTAAAACATCTTCCCCAGTGATCGGTAGCTCTTGGTGCTGGGTTTTAAGACAGAGTGCTAATTTTTTTTTTTTTTTTTTTTTTTTGTGAGGAGGGGAAGTTTTCCTTAGAAATACTGTATATAGACATCGTCATATGACAAAACATTATCTCTTCATGAATAGCCAGCGAGCATACAACTCACCATGAAAAACAATAGGCAATAACCCTTTGTTATGGCACTCCATGTTTTACCACCTGCATCTCTCCATCTAGTTTCTTGTCCTTTGTCTCCCGACTGTCGCCTCTGGTCACATCTCTGGTGTCCCTGCACTCACACACACCGTTACTCCATGTGAAACAAAGACTGTTAGGACTATCAGATACCGTGAAGGAGTTAGTTCAGCAACTTAGGATACTCAATTCTGGGTCTGCTCAGGGGTTTTCTTGGCTAACTTAGGCTCCTTGGCTGGCTGTTGATGGGAACTTATAAACCTGAAAAACCACCTAATGTTTCCGTCCTCCCCAGCAAGCCTGACGAGAGGAACAGATTAAATTAGCAGTCAGCATCATCCTGACTCAGTAGGAATGGCACACTGGAGATACTCAGACACGTTAAGGAAGAAACACACTAGCATCTGTCATGTTCCTGGGTGAGAGTCACTTGATCTTCCCAAGCAAGCTGATTTTATAAAGAGCAGGATGAGGTTTAGGTGTAACAGGTAGAATCACAACCACCGTGAGTGGACAAGTAACTCATGTCTCTCAGGCTAGTTCCTTTCTTCTGGGACTCAAGTACCAGTACTGATAGACTATCACAGGCATTAAGTGATACGGCGTGTGTGAGGGCTCCTCAGACACTGAAAATACAATGCACACTGTGTATCATACCTGCTGTAGTTACTGGAACAGACTGGGACCAGAAATGCTTCAGATTTCAGATACATACATATACATATATGATTTGAGGTTGTTTATATACACACAATGTGCTACTACAGGAGTAAGAGCCAAGTCTAAACATGAAATTCATGTGTTTCATTTATATCTAGCACATTTAGCTTGAAGAATTCTTAAAAAAAAAGTTTGTATGTGTGCAACTGCTTATCAGTATATGCACCATGTGTATGCTATTTCCCTTGATGGCCAGAAGAGGGCATCAGCACCCTGGAGCTGGAGTTCTAGGTTGTTTTGGGCTGCCTGACATGGGTGCTGGGAAGTGGGTTAAGGGGCCACTCCCCAGCCCCTGAAGATCTTTTTATTCAATATTTTAGTGTACCTCAATGTTGTCTGTGCCCACTCATTTCATGAGGTCAAATGTAGAATTTCCCACTGTGGGATCCTGTCAGCACTCAGAATCTTTTAGATTTGGGAACACTTTGGGTTTCAAAGTTTTGGATTAGACACTGAACCCATATTACGATTACAACAGTGACCATGGTTTGCCCATACACATCTGTGAAAATAACACTCACATACTATCTGCATCCTGATAAAGTATGAACAGTTCTGAGTTCTACCTTCTCTGTAAAACCATGGATCCCAAGGAATAAATATGGTAACATATGTAAAAATCTACCTGCCCATGGTTAATGCTAAAAATAGTTACCTTTTCCTTAATCTCATCTGAGGATCAGTAGGCTATAGATCACTGAATAAGATAAGGGCTATGTCTTACTTGATCACACTTCATATTCAGTTAATTTGTGACTTTAAAAGTTGTAGGTCAGGATGAGACTGTTTAATTCTCTAAAAGAACTCCTGATAGTCTAAGGAATCTCAGAGTGGCTAGACACATATTAAACGATTTGCCTATTTGACTATTCTTTAAAAAAAAAATAATCATAATATCTGACCCCAGTTGAAGCCATGAACTAACATAGACAGTATTTATCACTTTTAATTTGCCTACAGAACAACTCCCTCTCAGAAAAGTTCACATCTGAGACTGTGGTGAGATGAGGATGTTTATTCCGTTTCCAGTTGTATCAATGTCTGCAAGTTTTCTACATTTTATACCAATTCTTTTGCTTGTAATTCTGTGTGCCTGGCAACACTGACCTGCACAGTGACCCCAGCCCTCTCCATGCTGACTGGCTTTCCATGCTCAAACAGGAAGGGGATGGCAGCAAGATCAAAGAGGGGAAGGAAGCAGGGAGTCTAGACCCTGGCAAGTTAATAACTTAACAGTGGGTGAACAAAGCTGAGAAAACAGCTGAACTGTCTGCAGGAGAGGAGCTAAGGGCAGACTGGAGGGGGGGGGGGGAGAAAGATGCTAAGAGAGGGCAGGAAAGTAGCCTTTCCAGGCCAGACACCAGGTCCTGGGTGCCACACAAACAGAGGCCCAGAGAAGTTTCTACAGGAGGAGGAGCTGCCAGAGTGGATGGACTAGGCACCTGCCCTTCTATGATCGGAGACCTTAGGTGATCACAGCTCAAGGTTCATTAATCCCAGCCCCCAGACAGGGTTTCTCTGTGTATCTTTGGCTGTCCCGGAACTCACTTGTAGAACAGGCTGGCCTCGAACTCACAGAGATAAAACTACCGCTGCCTCCCGAGTGCTGGGATTAAAGGCATTCGCCACCACGCCCAGTTCACCTTCCCTCTGTCAAACAACTCAAGCTTTAATATGTTCTATCTTCCTACAGCCGATTCGTGTCTCTAAAGAGCTGTCCACAGGCATTCTCCTCATAGCCTTACCTCATAATCCCACCCCAACCCCCTCATTCTGCCTTTTGCTTTCTTCGCTGACGCATATGGACAGAGTCTCCTCAGCCTCCTTTGCTTCACTTCTCTCCTCCTACCACTGGGCGTTCCCATCTGAAATGCTCCTCCTTGGTCCTTCAGGGGGTCGTGGCCCTTGTTTCTTCTTTTTGGCTCTCTCTCCTCGCAGTGCTCTATGGGGTTCTCTTCCTCCACCATGCACTGAGCTTGGGCACTGAAATCCCTCTACAAGCTCAGGCATTTGCCTCTCCTCATTATATCCTTCCTCCTGAGGAAAACGACAGAAGATGGGAATTTGCTCCAATAGGAGGTTTAAGGCCACTTTTACTGAAAAAAAAAAAAATTCTTAATGATAAGAGATCAAGAGAATTGGTAAGAAGAGATCAAGGCAGGCCAGTTCAATGTCCTTTAGGCAGAAGTTGAACTTTATTTTTATTACTAAGAAAGAGAAGATAAAAGGTTGCTTAAAGAGAAGCATGGGTCCCCTGAAAGACAGCAGAAGTGTCAGGAGACGAAGAGCACAGCAAAGGTGACCCATAAAGCTCTTGGAGGGCAAAACACAAAGGCACAAGCAAGGCACCATTTCCCACAGCTTGTCCCAGAGAAGAAAGACTAGAGAGATGCCAGAGATCAGTGAGGGCAGGAAGATATCAAAAAGCAAGTGTCACTAACAAAAATGAGGCCGTCCTCCCAGGAAGAGACCCTACACAGGGGCACATGGCAAGAGGGCCAAGGTCACCTTGGGAGAGCTGACGGCTGCTGGGGTATCTCCTCCAGACTGTCCACTTTTGTCCTCTGGGGCTGTCCGGTTCTCATGCACCTCAGGATGGTCTGTGGGGTGACTCCCTCTGGGGCAGTTTCCAGAATGTTCTGCCAGTCTCCAGGAAAAGCCAGTATTTATGTGGTCAACCTGTAAACATGGTGGATTCAAGTTTCCAGGAGGAGGGAGGGGGGAGACCATTGAGAGGGGGAAACCCTGGTGAGCCAATGAAAGACCAGCCTTTGCCTGGGGAAAGATCTCTCCATTTGAGAGCAGATGGCTAGACACCTGGAATGTTTAGAAAACACAGTTCTCTGGCAGCAGAATCCAGAGGATGCTTTAACAAAAACTATTCAGTGGGGGTATACCCAAGGCCTACAGGGAGCAGACCTTTCAATGCAGGCCTGCAGGGTTCTGCTCCATAGTGCTTTTAGGAAAAGCCATATGAAAGGGAATGTGAGGTAATAGAAAGCCAATGGGGTTTGAAGTCCCTGAGTCCAGGGTACACAACGCTTAGAGCACAGGGTCTCTGGGTTTGGGGTCTTTAATAGCTAGATTTGGGAACTAGTTATCTTAATTTTTAGACATGAAATTCTGGCTGGTTTTCTCTAGGCACGACAGTTTTATTGTCTGGGAAAGGGTGTAGTAGTCACGTTGTAGGGGGCTGTGTGATTAGGAGAGAAAATGCA